GGCTACTTCTTACTCTCCGGGCAAGCAGCTCCCAAGTTAGATTGATGGACACAAAAAAACTATGGAAAAAAAACCCTCAATTCTAAGGATGAATTTTTTAAAAACAATCATTAGTGAGTATATGTGCTAAGTGTGTACTATGTGTTCATATGGAGGTCAGAGATCAACTAAAGGTGCCAGTTCTCTCCTTCCATCATATGGTTCCTGAGACTGAACTCAAGCCCAGCTTGACAGCAAGCACTTTTACCCAGTGGGCTATCTCACTGGCTCAATTCTGGGATTATTTATCCCAACAAACTTACCATACTTAAGGATACAAGCTATCATTCAGAGTGCAGTATTCAACGGGGATCGTGCTAAAGTCACCAATCCATCAGATGGAGGTACCTCTTTGAAATCAGACATCAAGTACAGGACTATCACCTAGAAACAACCAGCCTGACACTTAAAAACTTTACATAAGGGCTGAGAGGTGGCTCAGCTGGTAAAGCGCTTGCCAGCACAAAGCCCACCACTGCAAAACAAAACAAAACAAACACACAAAAAACTCCAACAGGTGTGGAGGCACACAGCTGTAATCCTAGCATTTTGGGAAGCAGAGGCGGAAGGATCAGGAGTTCAAAGTCATACTCTGCCGTCCAGAGCGCTGAAGAAAAGGGGCATGGGTGGTGGTGGTGGGGGGGGGAACCTCACCTTAGCTCGTCAGTCCACTTACTGCAAAGAAAGGGAACCAAGAGCATTCTGGAAATTACTAGGAATGCATGTGGGTCACTAACATGTAGCTTCAGTGGCTATAAAGAACTCAGAGGTCATTAGCACTAACCAAATGCTTCGTTTGACTGACACACAACAGAGGCTTGTGGGAAAAGCAGGAAACCCAAATTCTTCAGTCAGTGGGCAAGCGTTAACTGAGAGAACCCTAATTTACTGGACCCATCAAACAGAGGAGCCATATCTAGGTTCTGCTCAAGGTTACCCTCCAGAGCTCACTGTCAGCACCAGATCCTGCCTAGCTGCCTGCATAACAGCACCTACGTGGGACCCCACTCCCTCCCACCGCTCAGCTTTGTTCCTTCAGGCAGGTGTCTCTGGGTCTACACTCCGCGTACCCAATCAACTCCCCACAAGGGACTCGGTCAGTTTGTTAAGGCCCAGCACGTTCAGCAATGCCTGATACACACACACACACACACACACACACACACACACACACACACACACAGTCTTCTGGTGGATTAATGAAGCATTCCAACACACAGGCAAAATATGAAATCCTAGGTATTATTTTAAAATACAGGTTTCAAACTGGGTGATGGTGGCATAAGCCTTTAATCCAGCACTTGGGAGGCAGGGGCAGGCAGATCTCTGAGTTCGAGGCCAGCCTGGTCTACAGAGCGAGTTCCTGAACAGTCAGGGCCATATAGAGAAACCCTGTTTCAAAAAACAAAAACAAACAAACAACACAACTTTCAACAAGTTGAAGGTATAAGACTTATTATTAACGCTTATAGAAATTGTATGTAAGAAACTACCGAGTCTATATTCCAAAATCAAATTAATACCAAATCTGGGCTCTACTCCTTGCAGGGTAACCTTGCTTGGGTTTTTCGGCCTCAGTTTCCTCTTGGGTGAAAGGGCAATAAACACTACTTAGTGCAGTGTCAACCAAAGGCACAGAATTTTATGTAACATGAGCAGGGAAGAGACTTGGGGAAAGGCTTCAATCAGTATTACCTCCACAACTATAAATTAAAAATAGGGCCATAGGAATAAGAAAAAAAATTTAACTTTTCATTTATTTATTTTCTGAGACAGGGTTTCTCTGTGGAACAGTGCTATTGTCCTGGAACTCACTATGTAGCCCAGACTGGCCTTAAACTCACAGAAATCCACCTGTCTCTGCCTCCTGAGTGCTGGGATTAAAGGCATAAGCCACTAACTTCCGGTTTAACTTTTTGTTTTGTTTTGTTGTGTTTTTCGAGACAGGGTTTCTCTGTGGTTTTGGAGCCTGTCCTGGAACTAGCTCTTGTAAACCAGGCTGGTCTCGAACTCACAGAGATCCGCCTGCCTCTGCCTCCCGAGTGCTGGGATTAAAGGCGTGCGCCACCACCGCCCGGCTCCGGTTTAACTTATATTTTAAAAATAAAATGTTCAGGTTTGATGGCTCATGCTTTTATTCTCAGCACAGACAATCACAAATGCAAGGACAGTCTGAGCTACACACTGAATTCCACCCCAGGCTAGCTTAAATTAGTGTACCAAGTCACACGCAAAACAAAGCAGAAAAAGAAACAAAAAGCAGAAGCAAATAATATACCAGATGGTTTCTTCTCTTTTGAAAGAGTAAGATTGTTTTCTCAGGGCTGAAGATGGCCCAGTGGTTAAGATCCACGTTTGGTTCCCAGCACTCACAACCACCGGTAACTCCAGCTTCAAGGGATTTGGTGCCCCCTTCTGACCTCAGTGAATATCCATCCACAGATACAACTCCCACCCCAACAAAGACATAAAGACATACATTTTTTAATGTTATTTTTTTCCATGGGAAACTAAGATCATAAATATTATAAATTATTTTCAGTAAGAAACATAAAAATGTACCGGAAACCAAAATATCACTATAAGCTGGGAAACACGTAAACCCAGGGCAGAGACACATAGCATGCTTGTAGGTCTGAGGATGTAGAGATTCCCTGGGACCAGGTAGGCCAGCCAGTCGCTGACAGACACCTCCAGGCTACAAGGCTCACACTAGAGCCATGTGCACCTTCCACCGCTGGAGGCTCGGCCGTAAGAGGACAACTACGAGATGGCTCACCAGCTGCAGACCCAAACCAAGCAGGCAGCACCTCAGCAACCTGAATCTGAGAACAACTCTGAGGGACAGTCATACTGCTCTTTGCCCCAAGTCTAGAGTCTGACTTGATGTGGCAGGCAGTTAAGTGACCATGGTAAGAGTAAAAGTGCCCTCATGGTAAGGTCAGACCTGAAGGATTTCAGAGACCTGATCAGTTTGGACATCATCAAGAGTAGGTCATTGTGTTGGTGGTACTGGAGTAGGCTATGACAGCCTTAGTTGCTTTTTCTTTTTTTTTTTAAAGATTTATTTATTTATTTGTTTGTTTATTTATTTATTTATTATGTATACAGTGTTCTGCCTGCCATGTATGCCTGTACGTCAGAAGAGGGCACCAGATCTCATTACAGATGGTTGTGCGCGGCCATGTGGTTGCTGGGAATTGAACTCAGGACCTGTGGAAGAGCAGCCAGAGTTGTTAACCTCTGAGCCATCTCTGCAGCCCTAGTTGCTTGTTCTGAATTTGTCCCGAGTCTAAGATAGGTACCTAAGGAGACATCACAGGGTTCAATTTCCATATAATTGTACAGGATCAAGAGAAACAGATTAAGAGACATTTCCTACAACCACTTGGCAGTTAAGACAAAAACCTGTCTGCAAAGTTGAGCATGGTAGCTCACACTTGTGATCCCAGCATTTGCGGGGCTAAAGCAGACAGATCATAGTAAATGTAAGTCCAAAGCCAGCCTGAGCTACAGAGAGACCCTTTCTCAAAATCAGAAAATGCAAAGCAACAACCGCCTGCAGCAGTATTCTTTATTCTTCTACAGCAGAGACTTTGGAACTAGTTTCTATCGTGCCTCAGTTTTCCCTTCTGAGATAAGGAGCTGCCATGCAACAGGGTGACTAGTGCTTTTATGGTAAATTAACCCACCAAACTAACAAGGCTAAATGAGGAAAATAAAACCTCGCATTCAAGTAAACAGGATCTCCGATTTACAGACAAATTCGTAAAGTGGTAACTCCTTTGGTCAGACTCAGAGGTGACATTTACAAGGGCCATTCGTTTCACTAAGTTCACACCAACCATGCTGTTGGCAGACACGGCAGACCACAAAAAAGTCACAATAAGTCACTGTCGGTAACTGAGACTTTATCCAAGCCAGATGGTGGTTAAAGAAAATCAGATTGGGCTCATCTTGAGATTTCATCTCAGCCAAGACATTGGGTAGTGATTGGGCAGGCATAAGGTGCTGACCAGAGGGGAGTCTTAAAAGCCAGGTGCTAGTAGGGTAATGCACAGAGGGGAAGGGATGGTGAGGTACTGACGGGTAAAAAAAAAAAAATGTTCAGTGTACAACTCAAGACGGAAAACGAGTATGTTTATTTTGCCCAGCGTTGTCTTCCATGACTTATTCTACAGGTCTACAGCGCTTCAATGAATGAGCCCGAGTGACTGCAAAGCATCCAGAATCCAGATCTGAGGCGCCACCCTCGGAGGTACATCTGAGTGGCACAGGCCAGTGCTGATGTCACCCTGCAGACCCAACTGGCTTGTACCTCTCAGGGTTGGATTCCTGGGGTGAGGACTGAGCCCAAGACACCCACCCAGGCAGGCAGAAAGGAAGTCGGACTTCCTGGCCCATGCCAGCACGACTCCGCGTCCCCATCGCCCGCCTGAGCCCATCCCCGCTCTCTCCACCTCCCAGGTGCTTCCACGCTGGGCAGGGGCGGCCGCGGGAAGAGGGCAGCCCGGCCCACTCACCGCACTCCGGGTACTGGTCCGCCCAGTCCCCCGACTGCGGGCAGCCGCCGCCCGCCGGGGCCTCCTGCTGCTGCCGGTGCTGAAGCTCCTGCTTCAGCAAGGACAGCGGAGAATAGTGCTCGGTGGCCCACGCGCAGGCCAGCGCCCCCAGCAGCAACAGCAGCAGCCACAGCACCACCCCGGCGCCCGAGCCGCCCCAGCAGCCGCAACCACGGCCGGCAGGTGCCATCTTCCTGCACGGCGCAGGCGCGGCCGTGCTCTGCCAGCCGCGGGCAGGTGGGCGCGGCGCGCGACCGCAGTACCCCCCGGGAGTCGTAGTCCGCGTCCTCTCAGCCTCAAGCACGCAGCCAGCATCCGCACTACAAGTCCCAGGAAGCCCCTGCGCGCGCCTTTCCAGGTCTAGTGAAGGTGACTTCCGCCAAAGCCCGGAAGTGGAGGCTGTATTGAAGGCATGGGGACGGGCGGGCGTAGAGGGACGCGGTCCGGGAAGGGCACCGAGGGCGCGGCGACGGCTGCCTCCCCTTGCCTGTACCGTTGTATCGAGTGCAACCGGGAGGCCCGGGAGCTGTACCGGGACTACAGCCACGGCGTACTCAAGATAACCATCTGCGTGAGCGCGCCAGGGGCGGGGCGCGGCCAGGGAGGCGAACCCTAATGCCCAGTGGTTGGGGGCGAGGCGCGTACGATGGTGGGAAAGAGAAAGCAGGGGGTTCACGAGGATGTTAGCTAGACTTATGACCCCCGGGAGTGCTAACGCATTTCTGTAACTCCATCATTCCGCTCGCATGCCTGGCAGGAGGTAGATCGCGAACTCGACGCCAGCCTGAGTTACCCTGAGAGACCCTGTGTCAAACGAATGAATGGAGAGAGATGTGATTCCCTAGGGAAGTAGGCCCTGTAGCGGGAAGCGTGTCATTCTCATGTTGAGCCTGAGGAGGTGGAACCAGTGTTTCAGGGCTGGTGCTCTAGAGATTTCTCCTGTGTCTTCTCAGCGTACTTGTCAATGAAATAGTAAATGTACCGAATGGAACAATTTAACCAAAATAGAAAGCATTCCCTACCGCCAGGGATGTTGCTCAGTTGGTAGGGTGCTTGCTTGGCCCAAGTGCGTGAAATCTTAGATTCCAGCTCCACTCCATGAACCCATGAGGCATGGGGTGCATGCCTGTAATCCCTGCATTTGGGAGGTGGAGACAGAAGGACCTGAAGTTCAAAGCTGTTTGCGGGTGTGTGTGTGTCTGTTGGTAGCTGAACCCAAGGTCCCTGCCAGAACAGCACAAGTGTTCCTAACCACTGGGCCATTTCTCCTGTCCCCTACACATGATATTGAGGACAGTCTGGCTTAGAGACCCTACCTCAAGTTTTTCTGGTTTTTACTAAAAGTAGTAAACTTCCAGATAGTTGTTCTACTGTGTGTGTGTGTGTGTGTGTGTGTGTGTGTGTGTGTGTGTGGTGTTTCCTCCTTCTGTTCAAACTGAAGGCAAGAGGAAAGAGTAGAGGGGGCGCTGAGGGGATGGCAAGCAGTCCCAATGATCGAGATCAGCTGACTGAAGCGAGGTTCCTATCTGTGGGGTGCTGTGGAAGGAGGCTGGACAGCACACAGCATATCACCTGGTACTAGAAGTAACCTCTTTGGTTTCAGGTCACCAGCATCCTTCAGATGGTATGGTGGCTTGCTTTCTTCCTCTTCTAACCCTGAGGGGAGAGAATAGTGAGGCCAGTTAATTAATTCTGGGGGCCCATGAAGCTCTGAGACGGAGAGAGCTCTTGTGATTTCCTAACATCACTGCATGGGCATGAGCCTAACACAGGATACCGAAGGAATAGGAGCTGTGTGTCCTGATGCCGGCTTTCCCCTCCTGCTTCCAAAAATTATCTGACTCCTAATCTAAGTTTGGGGTGCTTTCTGAAAGTGGGATTTAGAAAGGGACTTACCACCTTAACAGTTTTTTTTTAAACAATAATGTTGCATCTCTGGGCTTGAGGGGAGGAGACAGGCAAAGGAAGGGGGATCTGGGAAAGAGCTTTTGTCCTGAGTTTGTGGTTAATCTCTAACTCAGTCTTTGCTCAGGTAACCTGACATTTGGCAGATTCACATTAGAGGGAGTAGCACAACTACTGTTTGGCCCGGTACATGGGAAAACATGTTATTTCTTACAATGGCGCGAGTTAAGTGGAGAATCTGTTTTATTGTGTTGAAGTACAGGGTGACAGCCCTCCAATGCACTTGGCTTTCCTTCTAGGTTTTGATGTAACTAAAAAGTGATCCTGGTATATTTGTATGCCTGTTATTATTATTTCAGTTTCTCTCTTATCCTGTCAGCCTTTCAGAATGTCCTCTTTGGAAGCTGAGGGAGTCTTGATTAGTGTGACATAGACCCATAGGCTGTACAACCCGAGTTCATGCATAGCACAGCACTCTTCACTGTCTCTGTGGTAGGAGAGAGAGCAAGTGTGTGTGTGTGTGTGTGTGTGTGTGTGTGTGTGTGTTTCCCAGGTTCTTGATCTCATTGAAGAAAATTCCAGACTTTGGGTCACGGACATTGTACCCTGATCTTGATCCATCTGTGGCTCAGAAGCTAGAGATAGGAACTTTGTTGAACACCTTCCTCCAAATCCTGAGCCACGGTCTAGACCACAGCCTGTCAGCCAGTGTGTTAGTAATTTGCTTTTTACAAAATCATACAAACCAAAAGTGGAATTGAAATAATCTTCTGAAATACTTTGTGCCTGCCGTGGGTCTTTAAATCAAATTCTTTTCTGATGTTATTTTCTGTTTTGTTTTGGTCTTGAGGCAGGATCTCCCTAGTCAGTGCATGCTGACCTCAAACTCAGACTCCTCCTGCCTCTGTGTCCTTAATGCTGGGGTTACAGCTATGTGTTACCACACCTGGCTTTCTTTTTGGATTCTTGAATATAAATTTAAAATATTACTATTTTAGCTAAAAGCTAATGTTTTGTCATCGTGAAGCCACTTCTTACATGGGTGAGCATTTTTAAACTGAGCATTTTAAATAGATGCTTATACACTTGTCATTGGGGAAGTCAGAAATGGACTTTAAGTCCTTTAAAATTTCAGAATGTATTAATTTATTTGCTCTGATATTACTTTGGTTTTTTTTTTTTTCAGAAATCTTGCCAGAAGCCAGTAGACAAATACATTGAGTATGATCCTGTTATTATCTTGATTAATGCCATTTTGTGCAAAGCTCAGGCCTATAGGCATATTCTTTTCAACACTAAAATAAATGTAAGTTGTAGTAGTTTAAATTTTTATTAGCATTCAGTCTATCCCAATTATTGCATGGAATATACTTAAGACAGATTATTTGCTGTGAATCTAAAATTTAAATTTAATTGGGCATATGTTCTTATTTGCTTAATATGACACCACTAAGTTTGGGCAGAAGTAGACGGCACAGTAGTCTGTCCCTCAAATAATCAGGGTCTTTAAAAAAAAAATATTTATATGTGATGAGTGCTCTAGCTGCATGTATGCCTGCAGGCCAGAAGAGGGCGTTAGACCCCACTACAGATGGCTGGGAGCCACCTTGTGGGTGCAGGGAACTGAACTCAGGACCTCTGGAAGAGCAGTCAGTGCTCTTAACCACTGAGCCATCTCTCCAACTCAAACAAGGCCTTTAAAGTGACCAGAGTGTTGATTTTCAAGCTTGCTTACACACTGAAAATTCATGGGTGGGGTGCAGGAGACCTCCACAGGCCAGCTCAGCGTCTTTGTGTTGTGTGATATTTTTCTCTTTTGGCTCTTTAGTCTTTTGACTTTTTGGGGGGCCCACCACCCAGCTCCCAGATATATCACACATGGAGTCTTATTCTTAGTTATGAATGCCCGGCCTTAGCTTGGCTTCTTTCTTGCCAGCTTTTCTTAAATTATTCCATCTCTCTTTGGCCTTGGGTCTTTTTTCTTTCTCTATTCCTGTGTACCTTTTCTTGTCTTCTTACTTCATGTCTGACTGAAGCTGGGTGTCTGGCCTCTGAATTCCTTCTCCTTCCTCTCTAGTTGCCAGATCCTTTTCTCCCAAATTTCTCATATTTATCCTCCTTGCTTGCTAGCCCCTCCTTTTCCTCTCTCCTACCTCACTATTGGCCAATCAGCTCCTTATTAGCCCATCAGGTGTTGTAGACAGGCACAGTAACACAGCCTCACGAAGTTAAACAAATGCAACATAAACAAAAGTAACACATGTTGAAGTAACACTCCCCAACATCTTTGTGGATGGCCTACACCCCTTCCCAGATGCTTCTAAAGTGCAACCAGAGGACCTGTGTGCCAGCTGAGGAGCCTCAGGCCCTGGGACTTGTTCAGCTCAGGTTCCCACGTGCTTTCTCGTACCCATGGTAACTTACTGGAGAAAGCTCAGTTTGCAGGAAAGATCATCAGATTGAGAAAGGCCCATTCTTACCACATAGTGTTTTCCAATTCAGTAAAAAATTTAGTACCTTGAGAGGTTCCAGCCCATTTTTACCATATGTATTTTTCTCTTTCATTGGCCTAATACTCATTCAGCCCAAAGGCTTTGTTTTGTGTGTGTGTGTGTGTTTGTTTTTAATTCCTGTTCAGACTAATAGTTTATGTGGTGTTCTCAAATCTTTAGATTAGCTGGGCATGGTGATGCACACCTTTAATTCCAACACTCAAGACAGAGGCAGGTGGATTCAAGGCCATTCTGGTCTACACAGTGAATTTCAGGAAAGCCAGGACTACACAGAGAAACTTGCCTTGGAAAAACAAACAAACAAAAAAAGCTTTCGATTAGATTGATTCTCTTGTGACTTTTCCACGGGTGTCAGCCATGTATATGTTGTATTTGGCTGTGTGCGGATGAGAGCTGACTGTTAAAAGCAGTAATTCCTATAGGAATGCACATAGGGTCTCCCCAGGAATTCTGCAAAATACACCTATCCACGTCTTATTCCTAAAAAGCTGACCCCAGACTGGGTCCTCTGATGGTCAAGTTTGGAATTCCTTGTGAGGTTCCAATAGACGCTGCTAGTTAAGAACTTCTGACTTACGTAACTAATGCAATTAACCAGTTAATAACACTGGGAAATCCACATGGGGCATTCTTGGTACAACTACTAAGTGAACGTGCGCACATGTATAGTCTTAGTACTCGGAAGGCTGAGGCAGGAGGGCTCTCTGAAGTGTCAGACCAGCCTTGGCTACACAGCAAGACTCATCTCAGAAAGCAAAATAAGCCCTCCAGCTGCTTACCTGCAGTGTGCCTGTCGGCGTGCAGTCAGCCAAATGCTTTACCTGACCCGAGGACACTGTCTTTGACTGTCAGATCCATGGGAAACTCTGCATGTTTTGTTTGCTTTGTGAAGCATACCTGAGGTGGTGGCAGCTGCAAGACTCAAGCCAGAGCACAGCCCCCGACGACTTGATCCGCTATGCCAAGGAGTGGGATTTCTACAGGATGTTTGTGATTGCTTCTTTCGGTAAGCGAGTGCTAACCAGCAGCTCACTGCTCTGAGTGAAGCTAAGACACGCGGTAAGACAGTTAGTGCAGGACTGGAGACCACATCTTCAGCTCTGACTAACCTCCTCGGGAATCTGAATCACCTGCTTGCTTTGTCTTAAAAATTTGGTAGAGAGATAATAACAGTGTGCTGATCAGACTAGGACATTTTGTAAAATACTCTAAGCCGTTTTTAAGTTCTTGAAGAGTGCGTCAGGTCCTCTCACTGAGGACACATTAATAACTGCCTGCTGTTTCCCAGTGCATTAGGCTAACTGCTTCATGCAGATGTCTGGCAGTAAGTTTGCTGCTTGTGGGACTATATCCAAGGAATCGAACAACCCCCAAACTTACCTGTGTGTGGGAAGCGTCTCTCATTGAAATTGAAATCCTGGCTTTCTTGCCAAGGTCCAAATTGCACTGAGTTCCTGTCTGTGACAACATTTTAGTTTTCATCCTTCTCTGCCTCAGAGGCCTCTGGCTTAGGCCAGGCTGTGGCAGGCACCTGTGCTCCCAGCTACTCTAGGGGCTAAGGCAAAAGAGTTGCTGGAACCCAGACGCTTTGAGGCCAGTCTGGGCAACACAGTAAAACTCCATCTTAAAAATAAATTCAAGGGGGCTGGAGAGATGGCTCAGTGGTTAAGAGCATTGCCTGCTCTTCCAAAGGTCCTGAGTTCAATTCCCAGCAACCACATGGTGGCTCACAACCATCTATAAAGACGTCTGGCGCCCTCATCTGGCCTTCAGGCATACAGACAGAATATTGTATACATAATAAATAAATAAATATCTAAAAAAATAAATAAATAAATAAATAAATTCAAAATAGCCCTTCAGCTGATTACAAGGCACTGTTTCAGGAAGACTCTGAGTGTGGTACCTTCCACATCTTATTCTAGACCATCTGCCCTCTTTTGCCCTCTCTATCTGCCATCATCCCTGCCCTCCCTTGCATCTCATGGATCTGTTCAGAACTCCCAGGTGTCCACGTCTGACCTAGACCTTTCTCCTGACCTCTGGACCCTGTGTCTGCCTGCTTCTTACCAGCCCCGCTGGACAGCTAGTAAGTTGTCATCTCTAAGCCTGGTCTTACTCTGCCTCTGCCCACAGCCTCCCACTGCAGGTTGTCAAGATCAAAGACCTTGGTTTCTTTGTTTTCCAGGGGTTAGAATGGGTGGGACATCTCTGTTTCCCTCATTTGCTCCACAGAACAAGCTGCCTTTTTTGCTGGCATTTTTGCATTCCTGTGGGTAGAGCAACCCACGACAGCAGAGAAGAAGCCCAACCTCGTCCTGCTCCTGAAAGCACTGCTGCTGTCCAGCTATGGGAAGCTCCTGCTCATCCCGGCCGTCATCTGGGAGCACGACTACACACCTTTGTGCCTCAAGCTCATCAAAGTGTTTGTCCTGACATCGAATTTCCAGGCCATCAGAGGTGAGTGTGCCCTTTCATTAGACATGTCAGCTTCTAGCTGAGGTCCTGGCCCCGGGGCATCAGAGTTTCAGAACATGAGCTCTCCACAGACCCGTGTTGGTCCTGAGGACACACAGCAGACACTTGGGTCATCCAGTTCAGCCTTATGGTACTACACGTTCAGAGCACATTCACGCACACCGTCCCTCCCGTAGGCCAGGCATCAGCCTTTTGTTACCTCCACTTGAATGGCTTTAAGGAGCTGTGAGGAGAATGTGCCTGCACACAGTTACCAGACTGAGCAGATGTCTGGCCAAGAGAATGTGTCGGGTGCCTGCCTCCCATGCAAAGACAGCCCCGCCTGCCAGAATCTTCCCTTTTAGGCTCCGGAAAGCACTGCCTGCCTCCATGCAAAGACAGTCCCCGTCGGCCAGAGTCTTCCCTTTTAGGCTCCGAAAGCACTGCCTGCCTCCCATGCAAAGACAGCCCCGCCTGCCAGAGTCTTCCCTTTTAGGCACTGAAAGCACTGCCTGCCTCCCATGCAAAGACAGTCCCCGCCGGCCAGAGTCTTCCCTTTTAGGCACGGAAAGCACTGCTGTGAATTGCAGTCTCAGTGCTGCTCTTCCCACTCTGTGGCGCTGCAAATGGGGCTTCCTTCCTGTCAGTTTCTTCAGACCTTCAAGTTGGATGGTGGTGGTTGTTTTGAGACAGTCTCCCTGTGTAGACCTGGCTGCCCTTAAACTCAGTGCAGTCCACCTGTGTGAACCTTCTAAGTGCTGGGATTACAGGCAGGCACCACCACACCTAGATATATTCTCTTATTTCATGGGCTTCTGCCTCTGCTTGAAAAGAGCTTGGCGCTGGTGTTAGAAGCAGAGACTTCGTTTCAGGACCTGTAGGGCAGGGCGGGTTCCTCAGCTCAGCACCTTGCAGCACATAGGCCCTGCTGTCGTGTCTCAGGAGTTCCTAGGACACCTTGCTGCCTTTGTTTCCTAGTGACTCTGAACACCAGCCGCAGGCTGTCCCTGCTGGCCGTGCTGAGTGGCTTGTTGCTGGAGAGTGCCATGGTCTGCTTCTTCCAGAGGATGGAGTGGGATGTGGGGAGCGACTGTGCAGTCTACAAGCCTCAGGACTTCTGAAGGTACTGCAAACAGCTGGTCTCTTAGTTAACATTGCTACTTACTCCACAGGAAGCACCGTCAACAAACCAAAGAAATGGTTCCACCCAAGTCTAATTCCGGGAATCGGGATCACTGATAGGAACACGACAATTTCCTAGGCATCTGTACCACCCAGGAAAGTCTCCTGGTGCATCCTGGCGAGGGATGGGGCCTTGTGAACCTCTCCCATGCCTGAGTATAGGCCTATCTCACATGCATAGCTGCTGGGAGTTGAGGACACGGCAGTGTCATGCCTGGAGGTCAGCATCCCACGAAAATCCTGTCAGACATGGTCCTTTTCCGCTAGATAGCAGAGTGGTGTGGCTGAGCTGGTACTGCCTATGGCCTCTTCCCTCACATCCCTCTGCTCCAGGCTCTCTCCAGCACTGGATGGCTGCGCCCGTGTTCTTCTCTTGACTCTATCCATCCAGTGATAGCTGGCTGCTGCCTTGTCTAGCTGCTCCTCTCCTTCCGTCGCTTAACTCCTGTCTCCCAGTCTCTTCCCCTCCAGATTCCCTCTACTTCTGACTGTCCTGCAGCTCTCAACTACACATGAACCCTGAAGGAAGCCGCTGAGTGGTTCTCTGCCAGACCCTGGAAATACGTTTCCTGCCTTCTACCCTGCCTCCTGGCCCTGTGTCTACACAAGGTTCAAGATTCTTGAATGGGTGGTCTCCGCTGGCCATGTGATCTCAGCAGGACCCAGTGGCCTCTAAGAACTATCCAGTCTAAGGACCCGAACCCTCCCCACTTCTCAGCCACACCGCCTCCCTGTGTTGAGAGTGCAGTAGCTATAGGTTCCTTCAGCTTTTCATGCAGAACCCATGGCAGGGAAGGGAGGCCGCACTCCTGCCCATTCCTGCTTCGGTCCATGTCACCTTGCATGTGGAGCTCTCAGACCCTCACAACCCCTGCCTCCTGCTGTGCTGTGAGCCAGCTCATCTCCCTTCCTTCTGGGTCTTGGAGGTATTGCTGCTGGACCTGTCCTCTCTCTGTGTACGTGTGTGTACAGCTCTTTGCTGGACGTTCTGCCTAAGCTGCAGCTTTCCTTGCCTCCCCTTTCCACGCCCTGGGTCCATAGGCCTAGACTTCACAGGAGCCACTGTACCTGTGTCCCTCATGGTTTGCTTCTCAGACCTGCTTCCCTGCTGGTACTGGAATTCTAGCCCTAGATCCCTCTGCTCTGACCAGTGCTGGGCCCTGCCTGCTGCCTGACACTTGGTGCGTCCATCCCATGTGTCCACACTCCAGCTGCTACTAGTTTACCCTTCTGCAGAATGCCCTGTTCACCCCTGAGGAGGGACGCCTCTCCACACTCGATCCTGGGCCTCTGTCCAGTTGGCATCTCACAGCTGCCTTCCCTGTTTTACCCTCGGCCACCAAGGGCTGTTTCCTCGGTGCTTTTGTGCATCTGGTTGTCTGCTGTAGTTTACAGGCAGGAGAGTCAGCTCATGAACCTTTAGAGCCCACTGCAGAGCAGCGGCCTGCTGTGTCAGCGTGAACTTTGTTCGCTCTGCGTCTTCTTGAAATTACACTGGGAGAGCCCTGCTTTGGGCTCCCCGTGTCTTCCATGGCTCCCAGCAGCCCTGGAAGCAGGTCTTGTATGGTGACCAGAACAGGCCCTTCAGAGTCGTTCTCTGCTTTCCACAGCTTTACTCTTCACTCTGGCGGGACAGCTACCTCAAAGGAGAAGGCACAGGAGAAACAAGGTCGCCACTTTCTGTTAGTGGAGTGAAGTCAAGACTGGGGGATTCCTGAACAAACCCAGACACCCCCAGGAAGATCTGAGCCACCTAGACTCCAGACTAAGAGCCCTGCAGTGACACACGGGCAGGCCCCGTGGTTTCCAGTAAGGAAAGGTCGCAGCTCGATTCCTTTGATATGTTTGTGTCCTTAAATCTAAGTATTACATTGCTGTCTTAAAAATCGTATTTTGTGTTTTTCTGACGGAAGCACTTTTCTCTTAAGTAGTCTTTCAGAATAAATCAATTTTTTATGCATTTCTGATTCAGTAACTACAGTTGTCTTTTGAATTGCCTGAGCCAGAAATAACCGAGTATCTTAATTATTTCTTTACTGCTGTGATAGAACACCATGACTCGGGTACATTATAAAAGGAAGTGTTTAATCCAGCTTATGGTTTCAGGGGCTTAGAGGCCATGATGGTGGAGGGAAGGAACAGCTGAGAGCTTACATCTTGATCCACAAGCAAGAGGCACACTGAGCACTGGGAATCACAGGAGTCTTGGAAACCTCAAAGTCCACCCCCAGTGACACACCCTTTTCCAACAAGGCCACCCCTCTGAATTCTTCACAAATGTTTCAACCAAATATATGGGCCTACTGCGTGGTGGCACACTTTAATCCCAGCACTTGGGAGGCAGAGACAGGTGGATGTCTGTGAGTTCAAGGTCAGTTTGGTCTACAAAGTGAGTTTCGGGACAGTCAGGATTGTTACAGAGAAACATCTCAGAAAACCAAAATAGATGTATGGGATTGTGGGAATTTTGGTCTCATTCCAACCATCAAAATCAGAAAATCCCTGAACGGTACAATCTAGAGAGGTCATATCCCAGATGCTGCTGCTGGAAATGGCTGCAGCGGTAGCCCCGCCCCATCTATCTACCTGTCTCCATACCAGTCTTCAAATGCCCGAACTCAGCATATTCCCCTGCCTCGTCTTCTGAGCACTAAGAGTGGTACTCAACTTTTTTTTTTTCAAGACAGGGTTTCTCTGTAGCTTTGGAGCCTGTCCTGGAACTCGCTCTTGTAGACCAGGCTGGTCTTGAACTCACAGAGATCCCCCTGCCTCTGCCTCCCAAGTGCTGGGATTAAGCGTGCGCCACCACCGCTCAGCAAGTGGTGCTCAGCTTAAAACAAGGAATTAGAGCCAGTGTGATGGTACACAGTATAATCCCCTCTACTCCAGGCTGAGGCAAGAGAGTAAGTTCCAGGCCAGTTTGGATGCCACAGTGAGGTCAGGGTCAGTTCAAGCAGCTTAGCAAGACCCTGCCTCAGAATAAAAAGGACTGGGATGTAGCTTAGTGCTAGACGCTTGGCTTATGGCCAAAGGGGTCAGAGCAGTCTGCTCAGTATTGTCCCGTTACTTAAGAACAAAAAATGCTGAGACCAGTCAGCTACCAGAGGAGTGGCGTGTGAGAGGGGCTTTCCCTACACCCAAACTATGTCTATGCGGTCAGCTAACATCCCCAGCATTTTTAATGAAAACCTTGAAAGACAAATGTTGCAGGGTCTTAGTAAGAATGCATGCCTGTCTCTAGACTACAGTTGTGAGCTTCATTTTGCTCCAACCTTCTCTTTGTGTGGTTGGTTTTGGTTTTTGTGTTTCCAGACCTGGGTTGGGCACAGGGGCTTGCACATGGTTTATTCAAACATTTGGTGAGTTGGCTCAGAGGACCTGCCGCAGAGCCTGGCCATCTGAGTTAGAATCTCAAGACCCACATGCTGAAAGGAGAAAACCAGCTTCTTCTGCAAGGTGTTAACACACTAAATATGGATTGAAAAGGGGGTCCAGGGGGGCATGTGAAAGGAGAAAACCAGCTTCTTCTGCAAGGTGTTAACACACTAAATATGGATTGAAAAGGGGGTCCAGGGGGGCATGCTGAAAGGAGAAAACCAGCTTCTTCTGCAAGGTGTTAACACACTAAATATGGATTGAAAAGGGGGTCCAGGGGGGCATGTGCCCTCCTGGAAGATCTGCCTCGTGACTACAGTGATAAACAGGCTGAAGCCAGGTGTTGTGCTCCCTCAGTCCCAGCACTCTGGAGGCTGAAGCAGGACGGAAAGTTTGAAGTAAGCCTGGGCCACATAGAATGACCCTGTCTCAGAGGGGGAAAGCGTAAGCTGCGGCAGAGCCCCCAGCTAGCTCTTGTTTTCAATGCCGAGAGACCACACTGCTCATAAGAGCACTGCAGAGGGTGCAGCCATGAGACAGGTGCTCTTCATTACCAGTGTCTGGAGATAGCATTGTACACGGGAGCCCAAAAAAGGATATGTTTAGATATTTGCAAGGCTGCATTAGTCAGAAAGCTTAAAGATGTTGAAACCACAAAATGGCTAATGGGCTTGCATAGGGTCACACCAGAGCAACGACAAGATCAAGTGCCCATTGTTCTTGGTCTGACGGACCTGTCAGTCACCTAGTGGCGGTCTGGGGGGGGGGGGGGATCTGTATTGGTAAGAAAGAACAATTTACCATTCCTCAAATATAGTGCAGGGAAGGGAGATGAGAAGGAGTTTTGATCGGTAGAGGACTCGGGTGACTAGTCCAGGTTGCAGCTTGAGTGTCTCCGAGGGAGGCAGTGATGAAAGGAAGTGAACATGTTGCTGGGACCCTTGACAGCTGCACCAGTCTGCCCGTGCCTACCCACAGCCTTCACTACAGAGTAAGAAAATCCTGTGAAGTAAAGTATTTCTAGCTTCAAGCTAAATACTGGCTTCTGAAGCATCAACAAAGAACACGGAAGCCAGAACCTGGGGCGTGAAATGGACCCAACCTGCTTACTCCCATTTAATAAGTGCCTGCATGTCCTACTGGGTTGTGGCAGGCAGTTTTAAGGGCTTAACAGTTACATCTTACTAATTCCTAATAATGACCAGAAGAAACCTGTTGATTTCGTTGGCTCTCGAGAGTAGATGAAGTGTTTTCAGTGTGGAAGGCGAGGACAGTGTTAAGTCCAGTGTTGGGTTGAGTAATGTTGGCTCTCTGGTGATGAGCTATCAGAGAACATGGAGGTGCCCAGAAATCTACCAGGTGCCTGCAGCTAGGAGACTTAGGACATGCTCATTCTTCTTGCATAAGAAATGCAGGCAGGCAGTTTCATGAGTTTCTATATGTGTCCTTACCTGAGCTGTGTGCCCTCTGGAGGTGCTAAGGGGAACACCCTGCTGTAGAGACTGTGCATCCTCCCTGGCTTATAACTGGCCAGCATCACTCTAGTCTCCATCCAGTCACGTGTCCCTCATGACCCACCTAGGTAATACAAGGTGATTCCATTTCAAGGTTACTGATCAGTTCTCTCAAGGCCTCTCCAGACGTGCTTCAGAGCCTAACTCCTGAGAGGTTCTACCTTCAGACGACTTTGGGAAGAGTTTTCCACCTGCTGCAAAACCCCAGGTGAATGCTGTGCCCATCCACCAGGGCATCGCTGCTCACTTCCAAGGCGAGCAGGGCTCTCCTCTGGGTGTGTGAGGGCAATGCACGAAGCTCTGCTACCTCAGCCAGTGAGCCTTGAGGCCAGCGTTCAGAGTGTATTCCATTCTGACCAAGGGGCAGACGGATACAAGTCTCAAAGTCTCCACATTTAGACAGCTGAGGCAGGAGGAGTGCCTGGAGTCTCAGGCCACCCTGGGCGACAGTGAGACCTTGCTCGAAATCCCAAACAAGAAAACAGATGAAGAGGATTCCACTGCAGCGGCTCCCTGCGCTTCCCAGGACGCAGGTGGCAGGAACCAGGCAGAGCGTCTGCTCTGTAGTTCTCTCTCTGTCTCTCTCGCTCTCCTTTGAGTGGAACCAAGGAGAGAACTGCCTTATGCATCCCAAAGCAGACATATGCCTTGTCTTCCCCAGTGTGGCCGTTTTCCAAAGCCTGGCTTCATTTTTTTCTGCCCTGACTTTGTCCTGACTTGTCAACCCACTTAAGAAAAAAGAAAAAGCAGTAGAAAGCATTTTGATTGTGTTGTGAATTTTTAAAAGGCAGCTGTAGGTAACTTTTGAGGAACGAAGGCGGTTACCTGACGGTTTACAGTAGAGAGGATCGTGGTGGAATGCTCCTTTCCTGATCTGACTCCCATCTGCTAGCGGGCTTGGACCCCCCAGTATCTAAGACCCAGATTTGGGGTGGGGCACTGCTTCTGAATGTCTTCCCAAAGCTCTCCACGTGACCTTAATGCAGTCAGGACTGAGAGTAGCCGACCTGGGCTCTATCTCATAGCTAAGCAGGACTTAGCCTCACAGGTGACTAAATTTTCTGCTTTCAACTTCTTGTCCTGTCTGAACCACTGTCACAGGCTGGTGGCACTCACAGACACACACCCCTTCCCTTTGACTATTGCCAGCAGAGACGCTGAGCAGGGACACTTGTCTTCCTCTAATAGTCCCTCAGCATAGACAGGCTAATGCGTGGGTTGTTGTGTAACTAAATGCAGCTTGTCTTGGTTGACTTTCTGTTGCTATGGTAAAACCCTGACCAAAAACATCTTGGGAGAGGAAAGGGTTTATTTCTTCTTACACTTACTAGTTCATCATCAGGGCAAGCACAAGACTGTAGAAGAAGGCCGCTTACTGGCTTGACCCCTCTGACTTAATCAACTACCTTCCTATTCAGGACCACCTGCCCAGGGTAGCACCGCTCACAGTAGGCTGGGCCCTCCCACGCCAATCATCAATCAGGAAACATTCCAGATAATGCCTACAGGCCAGTCTGATGGAGAACATTCCCTGATTGACAGTCCCTCTTCCCAGATGACTCAAGCTTGTGTTGACAAAGTAACCAGCACACGGTCCTCCAAGCACAACAGCCACTGTCATCTTGATGGAACAGCTGTCACGTCTGGTCTCCTGGTCTGGTCTTGAAAGTGAGAGGGTGGACTGCTGGGACGGCGTGGGGAAAGAGGACCGTCCTCTGCACAGCTACGGGAAGCTCACCGACCATCCTGGAGAGGGACTTTGTGATGATGTAGCTGTCTGGGGATCACGCAGGCCAGTGAGTAACATCAACAAGCTTGTCGGTTTGCCAAGGTGGACTTTTGTGTAATCCTTTGCTTTGTTGCTGGTGCCCTGTTAACGCACTTGTTAAATTGCACTTCCCTTGCTGGACTCCAGAGGGCACCGGTGAGCAGACTTCTCACCAAAAGAGGAGGAAGGAACCTGGTGTGCACTGATAAACCAGGTGAAATCTTGGTGTATATGTGGTCCAGTACCAATGAGACAACTGTCCAAGCTTAGCAGAGAAATAAATCTACCTCCTAAAATTCACTTAATGGCCAAAAAAGTCTTCACTTTCTTTCAATATGTGTTGTATTGGACTCACTGCAGGTTGTGAACTCAGAATATGATTTTTGTTCTGTTTGAGAAAGGGTAGACCAAAGTGGCCCTGAACTCTGTGTTGCCAAGGATGACCTTGAATTTCTAATCCTCCTGCCTCCACCTCAGTCCTGGGGTTACAGGCACATACCACCATGCCCAGCTGACACGATACTAAGGTCAAATCCCAGGCCTCATACATGCTAGGGGCTCACCGGACCCACTGAGCCACGTCCCCAGACACCTGAACAAAACGACGCACGGCAAGAGACACTTGTGCACTCTATCCATGTTTAACCGACAGTGTGACGCTCTCATGAAAGAGTTTTAATAAATAGATCAAGGCTTGGAAGGACTGCTTTCCCACGGCAGTCTACAGTCTGTAGCTGTCAACCGTCATTCATGGTGTCCCAGGTTTTCTCTCTCCATTCAGGGTGTATTCGTTCAAGTTTTCCCCTTTACCTTTGCCGGATGTCAGTTTTGGTAGTTGCAGAAAAGTGGCTGACCAGAGTGGCAGAATATTTCCTCCTTCCAGAAAGTTCTCACGACTCAGTGACGCAACTTTCAAAGAAATCTGAGCAAAGAAGCTAACAGCTCAGTGACAGCAAGAAAAGATGAAGACCACCTTGGGGACTCTGGCGGGGAAATGGTTTCCACATCTCACACACCAGCACGGCATTCTTAAACAAAGAGGATACAACACGCCTGCCACCTACAAAGAAGCTGGCTGAGAGCAAGCTCCCCCAGAAGGCCCATGAAGGCTTTCCTTCTGTCACAGCCTCCGGCAGGTGCCACTCAGGATGCCAGGGATATGCTAACAGGCCTCTAGGTCACCAGGGAGACCCTGCAGCCAACTGAGCAGGCTGTCCCACTTGTCAACAAACTCCTTATCCACAAATTAGACTGGAGGCACCGGTCCCCACGTGCCCATGAACCATCCACCATGGAGAGTCTAACGTGCTTTCTTGCAAGAAGAGAAACAGATACTGCCAGTCTGTCTGTGTTGATGAACTCCAGGGGTGCTAGAGAGACTCCAGAATCCAGTCGCTGCTGGAGAGGTGGCTCACAGGCAGTGACAAGTCCCGGGGAGGGCCTCGGCCCTGGCCTTCTCGGAGCGAGCCCTGCTCCTGGAAGTCCTCGTCGTCATCGAAGAAGCCGTTCTCCAGAGCATAGGTGCAGTCCAGGCTGGAGGCTGCCTGGCACGCTCCCTTGTACTCCTGAATGGACTCATAGAGGCTGTACAGTTGGCAGAGCAAGGACATGTCCAGCTGTCGCAGGCCAACCTTGACGGAAAGGAGAGGAGGCAAAAACCAAGTCAGTGCTGAGTGAGATTTAATTGTAGTTGAACAGCCAAGTAGAAATCTTTCTAGGCTAGCCATTCCTTCCCTCAGAAAGGCTAAAGGCAGCACCAGTGGGATGCCGCAGAGCTCCAGTCCAGGCAGACATGTCCTTCACTGGCCGCGCCATACCTCGGACCTGAGTGAGGGAGTCCATACCTGGCAGCAGTGAGCCCAGCCTGAATTTGCTCCGGGCTACAGACACACCCAGCGGAGCAACAGCAGTGCATGTTCTGGGCACCTCCGCTGGCTCATTGTGCACACCAAGTCCCAGAGACATTACTGCTCCCCACAGCCACACTCAGAGAAGACCCACACATGACTTCCTGGCAACCCTGGCCAGACCCCACTTTGTTGTTGTCAGGCAATGGATTCCCCCTGGCCAGGGACAGGATCTCACTGGTCAGTGTGACATGCTGCCCCTGTAGCAATCTCCTCTGCCTCAGGGTTTTCCAGGCCTGGCGAGTTCAGATGCTCTCTCTTCTAGACAGGGCTAGTGTGATCCCTTCCCCACGACGATGAACTATGAAAAACCTGAAGATACAGCCTTATATCAGCCTTCTGGAAACTTCACAGAAATTAGTGGCAGGGGACAAGGAATATGTGGGAACGTCATGTATCTGTTGTCAATGTTTGCCTTCCTCTCTCCTTACTGCCTGCCCTGTGACAAGAAGCAGCCAGGTCTGGAAACGCATGGGTCCCATCGATCCTAAACCCAGGAAGAGGATGATGGTTAGAACTGCAGGGGAACTTGCACACCTGAACCTTTAACAGGCCAAGACCAGTGTCAGACAAGATGAAAGCTACCATCAAACTGGCCCAGGAAAAGAAAAAGTCCTGTAGGACCAGACTAGGGATGCTAACCTCAGGCTCAAGGAGGGCAGCTCGCCAATGCTCTCTCTGGGAATTCAAACAGACGTAACCTTGTGACACAAAGTCACGACCTCTCAGGTGTCCATCCTGCAGAGCCCTCCACACTAGGTGTGACTATCCCTCATGCAAACCCCGCTTTAGGTATCTGAAGGCAGACTACACCCTGTGGCCCAAAAAGAGCAGTCAGTTTAGGTGTGATAGAGCATGGCTGACATCCCAGCACTTGGGAAGCTGAGGCAGGAGGATCATGAGTTTGAGGCCAGCCTGAGCTACATAGTGATAGCACCAGAAAACAAAACAGCCTAGCCTGTTGGCTGCTTTCATTGGGATGGTCTAGCCAAATCCTTCCTCTGCATGGCTCCTACAGTCCACGATTCTATCACAGATATTAATACAACCTCCATGGCTTGACTGGAGTCCTGACTAAGTACTCAGATATGTCTGTCTGCTCCCAGATTTAACTCTGATAAAGCCACACCTGCTAAACCCAAACCTGTGTTTGCTTAAAATATCTAAGAGGCTCATCTGACACACCTCCTACCCAGCCACTCTTCACATCACGTCAAAGACACTAGAATCTGCTTTTCATGTCGAGAACAGACTACAGAAAGACCCAATGAGCTCTGAGCAAAGGGTAATGTTCACTTTCTGGGGTCCCATGGGTCAGCCCATGGTGAGAGAAACGCCTCAGCACCATGGGGCTTTCAAACTCTGTTGGATGACAAGGTCATGACCCCATGACACCAAGACTCATGATGCCAGGTTTTCCAAGCGAAATCTTCCTGGATTCCCACGGACATGCCCTGCGCCAGGTGGTGAGTGGAGACTCTGAACAGAGCTGCCTGCACTGTCACACAGGGATGATTCACAGAGCTGCCCTGTCACTGGGTGTGACAGTGGCCTAGAAACAACTGACCCACCTAGAGACACGCCTGTTACACAGCCGAACATGTGCCCAGTGCACAGACAGATCACACCTCAACACGGAGGTAGATGATCACACCTGCTCAGCCCCTCGTGGCAGCTGCTCCAGGCACAAGGCCCACTTCCTCCACTAGGCAGCATTTCCCTTACGAGGTGAGAGGCACTGACATTCTAGCCATGGCAGTTGCTCTTCAGCATAGGCGGTTCTAGCTGAATGAACAAAGACCTGTCCTGGTGTAGGGTCACGTTAGAGTGGGAACCGTCCCTACAACCCTCAGGTGGCCCAGAGGCCCTGGCTGGACAGGCAGTGCTGTGTGCTCACAGCACACCTGCATGGCTCCTGCCACGTCGTCAGCTAGAGAGGAGCACAATGGGCTAGCCTAGGCTCCTCCAGCAGCTCCTCGCTTAGGGGTCTGCATAGGGACAGGGAGGCGAGCATGCCCCAGGACTGAATTACAGGACATAATGAAGTCACCCATGTGCAAGAGTAGCTTGCCCTTCTGGAACCAAAGTGTTAAGGAATTGTCCCCGTCCTTACCCATAAGCAAGCCCCAAACACCTGTCACCCGTCATCTCTTGCCCCACTTGCTTGTCCCTGAAGGACAACACTGCAGGACTTAGAAATGACAGCCTTCTTCTGGAGACATCTTGAAAACTTTAGGCTCATTTAAACAAACCATAGTCACCTCAGCCCCTGTGATTTCCCATCCTTTATTGTGACTTACAAGACACCATAAGGGCCAGCTCAGTCACTGCAAGCAGCTTATCCTTTCCTCCTCTGCCCAGCCTGCCTTCCTCTCTGCCAGGCTCTCTCCTCACCCTCCGGCTGCCAGGTGGGCCCAGCACATCCTTCCTACCAGAATCTGCTTCCTTTCCCTGGGCAGCAGCTCTCAGCCTGTGGGTCTTGACCCCTTTGGGGGTTGCATATCAGACAATGACAGTTATGAAGCGGCAAAAAAAAAAAGAAAGAAATTTTTTATGGTTGGGGGTCACCATGACAAGAGGAACTGTATTAAAGGGTCACAGGATTAGGAAGTGGTTCTCACCATTGCCCTAGGGGAACTTAACAATAGGCTCAGTTGCAGAAAGAGTCTCCGACAGAATCTCCGACAGGGTGGTGGCTCCCTGCAGGGTTGAGGGTCACTAAAGTCCCAGAAACTCCTTGAGCTTGTGGTAGGGGAGGGGCTTAGAGTCCAGGAAGCTTTTCTTTCCTTAGACTGGTTCCCTTGGCGCCCAGGCTGACCTCAACCCACTTTACAACAGGAGATGACCTTGAACTCCTGACCCTCTTGTTTCTGCCTCCCGAGTGCTGGAAGGACTGGGACTCACCACCACTCTCTGCTCAGAGGAGCCCTACAGAGGAAAGTTGGGGCCGGGGAGATGGCTCAGTCTGTAAAGTGCTTGCTAAGCAAACACGACCTCAGTCTGGATCCAACCACACTTAGAAAAGCCACACGGCCAGGCACGATGGTCAGCTGGCTTCTTTCTGAGCTAGCAGGTATCCTCCTAGCATCTGGCTCCAGACACCGCACTATATTGGTAAAATCGAACTTAATTAAAAACAGCACACACCTTTGATCCTAGCACTAAGGAGGCAGAGGCAGGAGGATCTCTATGAGTCCAAGGCCAGCACGGTCTACAGAGTGAGTTCCAACAGGAGATACATGAGACCCTGTCTCAAAAAAATATTAGACTTTTTAGGAATAAGTCCCTTATCTTAATAAGCTTATCTCGTTATGCCAGTGGGACCCCAACCTCCACCCAATGGTGTTGCAAGAACAGTCTTCCTGACCTCCACAGGATAAATTATTTCTCATTCAAGGTTCAAAGTCAGACAAAAAAAAAAAAACCCAAAAAGAGTCAAAGCAAAACAAACACCCAGAGAAATGTTCTTATTCCCGGACAGGAGGAGGAGAAAAGCAAGCAATGAGGGGGTGGGTGCTGGGGGAGTCCTAGCCTGTGCGCATCACACAAACCTCTAAGAGATGATGTTCACTGTCCCTGGTCAGGTTTAAAAATTATTGAGTGCTGGATGGTGGTGGTGCTCACCTTTAATCCCAGCACTCAGGAGGCAGAGGCAAGCCACTCTCTGTGAGTTTGAGGTCAGCCTTGTCTACAGAGTGAGTTCCAGGACAGCCAGAGCTATTACACAGAGAAACCCTATCTCTTAAAAAAAAAAAGAAAGAAAAGAAAAGAAAAAGAAAAGAAGGAAGGAAGGAAGAAAGGAAGAAAGGGGAGGGAGGGAGGGAGGGAGAAAGAGAGAGAGAGAGAGAGAGAGAGAAAGATTATTGTGCAAGGGCCGAAGAAATGGCTCAGTCAATAAGGAGCTTGTCTCATAACATGCTGACCTGAGTTCTATCCCCAAAACTCAAGTAAAAGCCAGGTGTGGAGGTGCACACCTGAAATCCCAGCTGGGTAGGAGGATGCCTGAGGCAGATTATCTTGGCAAAATTAGCAAGCTCCAAGTTCAGTGAGAAACTTATATAAATAAATAAACATTTGTTTATTTGTTTATTTTTGAAACAAGGTTTCTCTACGGCCTGAAACTTGCTATGTAGGTGGGACTGGCCTCAAACTCTGTGATCCATCTGCCTCTGCCCCCAAATTCTGGAATTAAAGACAGGTACCACCACACCCAACCCAAAATAAATATTTGTTTAAAACAAAAACAAGGCAGAGGCAGGCGGATCTCTGTGAGTTCGAGACCAGCCTGGTCTACAAGAGCTAGTTCCAGGACAGGCTCCAAAACCACAGAGAAACCCTGTCTCGAAAAACCACAAAAACAAACAAACAAACAAACAAACAAAACCAAGCAAACAAACACACACACCCACACTCCCGCCACAGCTGGCTGCAGTGGTATGCACCTGTAATTCTAACTACTCAGGAGGCTGAGGCAAGAGGGTCAGGACTCACAAGTCTGCCTAGGTAAGATTCAACTGAAGGCCGAAGGCCGGGAGTGGTGGGCACACCTTTAATCCCAGCAAGGGGGTTGGGGTGGGGTGGGCAGGAGCAAGCACATCTTTAAGTTCAAGGCCAGACTGGTTTACAAAGCAAATTCCAGGACAACTAAGGCTATTACACAGCGAAACCCTGTCTCGAAAAACTAAACAACAAAATATTCAGCTGGAAAACAAACAAAACTATCA